TATATATATATATATATATATATACATATATATATATATATATATATATATATATATATATATATATATATATATATATATATATATATATATATATATATATATTACAATTTTAATACATTATGACTGGGAATATTGGTCCATTAAACAATTTCAAAGATAGAGTTTCACTCATTTCTTTGAAAATTTACCATATATCGATATATAAATATTCGTATATTGCCAGACGGAGGGAAACCAATCAGGACTCCCTTCCATATTACAAATTATCCAGAATCCCCGTAATATACATAGTTTTTAATTCATTTTCCTGCTTAAGGTGACACTAGTCGACATTATTTCCATAGAAATTTCGGAGGGGTTTTACTCCGCTGTTTGACAGTGTACATCAACAGTACATACAAGTGACAGTTAAACATGATATCGTTTTGTCTCATTATTAATTTTGTCTGCACGGAAACAGAATAGTAAAATAAAAAGTCATTAAAAAGTTACGAGCTATCAAAGATTCGTTTTTATTGCCAATTTTAACACAACTTTGGGCGTAAATTAGTAATAAAAGCAGTGTAAAAATTCCAAGACAAAGTCGGTACCGACATAGCTCAATTATCGAAGAATTCAATAAATTTTATTTGTAATTGATTTATGCAGTGGTTTTTTCATAAAACCCCTTCTTCCAAAGGCCTTTTCGTATTTTTTTTACGCGCGCGTGTTTATATGAATTATCGTGCATCTCACTGAATAATGTTTCCCCCCGGTGCAGTGCGGGAGGACGACACTTAAACACACATGCATGCGCGGTGACGCGCGCTTATTCTAGTTTTATTCGACTCAGTCAGCTGCGGCCTGTGACGTTCGTATGACTATAGCTATACCTGCGCTCTAAATTACTACGCTACATTGACCCCTGCTTGAACTTTGGATTTCGATACTACTCTGTTTGGCATAGGAATTGATATTATTGAAAGAGATGATGCGTTTTGGACGGCAGACAAAATTTTAAAATTAGATGGCTTTTATCAGAAATGTGTTTTGCCGGAGCTGATAGATCCCCGTTACCCTCGCAAACTACAATTTAGAGATCGAATGTAAATCAAATTGATATAAGCACAGACAAAAATAGCGGAATATAAATAAAATTTTGAAAAAAAACGATCTCAAAATTTTATTAATGTTCCGCTAATTTTATCTGTACTTACCTATGTCAATATGATTTACATTCGGTTATAATTATATTCTCAGACGTGCAGGTTTCCTCAATATGTTTTCCTTCACCGCCGAGCACGTGGTAAATCAGCACAATTGCAATTAACAATTTCATTGGTGCCGGCGGGGATCGAACTCGGGTCTGCATGTCTGAGAAATTAAAAAAATATATATTTCCAAGACATGTGAAGTTCGTCAACACGCATTGAGGCAGCGTGGCGGACATTTCCTTGCCTAAAAACCCTCTCAGAAATTAGAGAAGGCCTGTGCCCAGCAGTAGGACGTATATAGGCTGTAACTTTACTTTTTTTTACTTTTATAAATATATTATTTTACCGACGACTTCCTAGATCTCTAGGTGACTTGCGAGATGTCAGTGTAACAAAACAAAACGTCCCAGAAAAACAGACTTTCCAACTGATAGCTAAATCAGCACGCAACAATTTCATTGGTGCCAGTGGGGATCGAACCCGGGTTGCTCCCGTACTGTGATACTTATAACGAGCGCTAACCATGTGAGCAACCACGGCTCTCAACGACATCGTTCCGTTCGTGTACAGCGCTGAAGATAGCAGAGTAAAAAATTAGAGATTGTGGTGTTTGAAATTTGTCATCTATGAGAGTGAATTTTATCTGTGTACTCTGTAACAAATAACTATATAGAAAAAAAAATGTGAAAATGACATTTCGCCATTTTTGTTTGTGTACTGGTTAGGAACTCGATCAAAAATTTGATAATTTTTCTGTTTTTATACGTTATTTCTAAAAAAATGTGAAAATGACTATTCGCCATTTTTGTTTGTGTACTGGTTAGGAACTCGATCAAAAATTTGATAATTTCTCCGTTTTTATACGTTATTTCTAATGTTATTTTACATCAAATTAATTGTGAAGATATTTTCTTTTGGAAATATGTATCATTACGACGATTCAAAAACGTTTACATATAATAATTTACCTCGAAATTCACTATACGCGATTATCGTTTATTGATTATATGTTGTTTAAAAAGTATTCTTATCAGTTTTTTTGTGTTAAATGGATGCTAAATATAAAAGAATGCTTCAGTATTGATAGCAATTTATTACCGAAATATCTGTTGAGATGTGTCTAGAAATTATTAATACTTATTTTTATTTATTTATTAAAATAATAAATAAATAAAAATAAGTGTACATTTATCTATATTGAGTACTAGTTGTTCCCCGCGATCTCGCCCGCGTGGAATATGGATTTCATGGGTTTTAATTTTTTTGCGCGGAACCCTAATTCTTTTTCTAAAACAAAAGTAGTTCAAGTTATTCCTTATATCATCAGCTATCTGCCAGTGAAAGTCCCGTCAAAATAGATCCAGCTGTTTCGGAGATTAGCTGGAACAAACAGACAGACAGACAGACCGACAGACAGATAAAAAAATTTTAAAAATTGTGTTTTGTTACTAGTACTTTCATATGCATTTAATAAAAAGCTGTTGTCTTAACATTACAAACAGACACTTCAATTTTATTTATTTGTAGATATAGATATAAGATACTATTCATATTGGTGTCATTTTAAAGGGAATATCATGTACTATTATAATAATAAAATAATTGTCTCCAGTAAATATTATACTTTTCTTGTAAAACTCCAAATAAAAAATAAATACGATTTATTTTTATATTCCCATATGCTTTATTTTCATCCTTTATTTTTTATTTGACCAATTTTCTTTTAACAAAATTAAATTCTGAATTCGTTGAGCTTTTAGAGAATATTTTTATTTGAATGTTAGGTAGGTACCTATATTAGTTTTTCAGTAGTAATCGTTTTTGTTGCGACAGTCTCGCGCGGTCGTAAAAAAAGTTACTGCGCGGACAGGTGGGACGAGAATCATTTGCGCGGCGTTGACGGTTCGGTGGATAGGTACCTACCTACTGTTATTACCTAAATACCCATAACCTACTATACAACAAAATTTGACAAACTGTCGCTGCGTCGTGGACACTAAAATGTAAACTGCCTACTTACCTGCCTAAGTACGTCGGTACTAAGGAAACAGTCTTGACGGGTCACTTGTCTTGATAAAAACATGTGTTTACATCTAGTGATATTGTGTGTATATAAAAAAAGTAAGAAGACAGGTAAGTATTTTTGAAAACAATTTATAGGTAGGCAGAACTAATTACAATTATTATCTAAATATTATAAATGCGAAAGTTTGGTTGGATAGATGTATGTTACTCAATCACGCCAGAACAGCTGAAGGGATCTGGATGATATTTAGCTAAGAGATAGGTTATACCTAGTCTGGAATAACACATTTGATACCGTTTATTCAGGTATTTCATTCCTGTGGGATAATTTTCGAGTTCACGCGTTTAAAGCCGCTGGCAACAGCTAGTACGGATATAAACTGCGATGACTGTTCCAGTTCATACTTCGGCGTCGTGAACTCTTGAGTGATCGCTGCATGACCACCCGGGGAAAACTAAACATAATAAAATAAGCAATCTATATTAGGTATCTATAGAGCCATAGAGGTATAGTATAAAGCGATAACGCAGCGCCTAATAATTTAGTACGAATGGCACGATGCCAGGTGAGACAACGTGCTTTTTGGCCGCGCCCACCAATGAGTTCGAGCCCGCGACTTGTGCCACCTACGCAATTCCTTTGAATAGTGCGACGTTGCCACTCTTATTAGTTATTCCACTTTGTAATATTTTATTTATAGGTGATATTTTGTTTATGTAGGTATTCGATAGATTCCTATAATCTGTTTTTTTCGCAGGAGACAAAAATAACAGAAATTTATTAGATTCGTTTAGCACGAATAATACAGTTTTTATGATTCTGGTTCGGATTAGATTAGAATTTTAGTCACTTAAATTTCGTATATTGTTCAAAATAATGAAATAAATCCACAGAATCTGCAGTTACGAAAAAAAGCAATATCATTTTAGTGTCCGGCGAAAAAAAAAGATATATATCATGATTAATTTACCAACTAGTTATTCGTTTACTAAATACGAAAAAAATATTTAGACGTCATTTTTCTTCCAATCTTGCTGTACTGAATATTTACGTAGTCCTTATATTAATAATTATAATTGCATAAGTTGATACAAAATGCTATGCAAAAGCTTTATCGCGGCAGTCCCCGAGTGCCACACGTCTTTTATTTTTTTAAGTTGAAGTGGCAAATGAACTCACAGTCCACGTATTGGTAAGTGGCTACTGCAGCTCATCGACACCTACTACCAAATCCAAATGAAGACGGCTACAGACTTGTAGTAACTTTTGGGTTTTAGATGGAATATCTCACAGCCCTCAATTATACTGGCTTTCTGTACCCGGTACACAACATTGGAAGCACTGCAATTTGGTGGCATGAACAAACAACAGAGTGGAACCTACCCAGATGGACCAATTTACAGAAGTGGAGTCCTACTGCCTAGAAACTATATTATGGTTGTAGCACGAATGGGTCTGATCTATCAGGGTAGGACCACGCTGTCACACAATAGCATCGTAAAATAGCAGCCAAATGCTTCTTACTGTGAAGTGACATTGTTTCTTACTGTGAAGGTAGAGAACTGGAAACCCTTTTTACTGGAACTGAGGCATTCCAACTTAGTCCTCAGGGACGTTGTCATCTGCATTTTTATTAATGTAAATGTACATTTCTATTGGCCACAGCATCCACTTACACACTTCAGGTCGACTGTGTGCTCGTTTGTCACCCATATTTTATAAGAAATAACAAATTGTAGTAACAATTACTTTTTCTGTCGTTACAGATATTATGAACTATGGAAGATTACAACGAAACTCTAGAATTAAACCATTCCGAGCCCTATCAGCCATATTATGAAAGGCCAGAAACATACATAGTCCCACTCTTATTTGCGCTAATTTTTGTCATCGGTGTAGTCGGCAATGGAACCCTCGTAGCTGTTTTTATAAGGCACAAGGCCATGAGAAATGTACCTAACACGTAAGTAATATTATTTATAGTTTCATAAATATTTATTATATTTTATTTGACTAGGGAGTATACCCTGCGGCAGATTGTATAGAATACCGAAGAGTACAATCTGCCACTTTGCCTGGCGTATGTGGACTATGAGAAAGCCTTTGATTCCGTCAAAATTTGGGCGGTGCTACAGTCCCTTCAGCGGTGTCAAGTTGACTGTCGGTATATCGAAGTGCTGAAGTGTTTGTACAGTAGTGCTACGATGGCTATCCGAGTACATAACCAGAGTTCGAATCTTATCCAACAGAGAGGTGTAAGACAGGGTGACATTATATCCCCGAAACTCTTCACCGCTGCATTGGAAGACGTTTTCAAGCTACTGGACTGGAAAATATACGGTATTAACATCAATGGCGAGTACATCACTCACCTTCGATTTGCCGATGATATAGTCCTTATGGCAGTATCCCTGGAGGACCTAAGCACTATGCTCAATGACCTCAATGGTGTCTCCCAACGGATAGGTCTTAAGATGAACATGGACAAAACAAAGATCATGTTTAATGTCCATATCACACTTATCCCGGTAGTTGTTGGAAGCACTATGCTCGAAGTTGTTGACGAGTACGTTTACCTGGGACAAATAGTCCGACTAGATAAGTCCAACTTCGACCGAGAGGTCAATCGACGGATTCAACTCGACTGGGCAGCGTTCGGGAAATTACGACACTTCTTCTCTTCAGGTATACCTCAATCTCTGAAAACTAAATTGTACAACCAGTGCGTGTTGCCAGTGATGACCTGCGGAACCGAGACGTGGTCCTTCACTGCTGGCCATATGAGGACGCTCAAGGTCGCTCAGCGAGCTATGGAGAGGGCTATGCTCGGGGTTTCTCTGCGTGATAAACTTAAAAATGAGGATATCCGCAGTAGAACCAGAGTGACCGACATAGCCCAACGGATTAGTAAGCTGAAGTGGCAATGGGCCGGTCATATAGCTCGAAGAAACGATAACCGATGGGGAAAAAGGTTCTCGAGTGGCAGCCTTGTACCGGTAGGCGTAGTGTAGGGCGACCCCCACTAGATGGAGTGACGTCCTGGTAAGACATGCAGGACGTCGATAGATGCAGGTGACTCAGGACCGTGCTTTGTGGCATTGCTTGGGGGAGGCCTATGTTCAGCAGTGGACTTGTGAAGGGCTGTAATGATGATGAGTGATGTACTCGCCATTGTTGTTAATACCGTATCATTTCCAGTCCAGAAGCTTGAAAACAACTTCCAATGCAGCGGTGAAGAGTTTCGGTTATATAAAGTCACCCTATCATACATCTCACTGTAATTGGATAGGTTTCGAACTCTGGTTCTGCACTCGGATAGCCATCGTAGCCTTACTGCACAAACAATTCAGCACTTCGATATACCGATAGTCAACTTGGCACCGCTGAAGGGACTGTAGCACCGCCCAAATTTCGATGGAATCAAAGGCTTTCTCATAGCACACATACGCCAGGCAAAATGGCAAATTGTACTCTTCGGTCGTCTGTACAATCCGCTGCAGGGTATGTATGTGTTCTATGGTATTTTCGGAAACCGGCTTGTTCGGGAGGCTGGAAGTCGTCAAGTCAGCGTGCGAGACGATTCGTAATGACTCTCGAAAACAGCACGTTGACGCGGCTCAGAAGGTCGGTCTATAGTTCTTCAAGAGAGCGTTGTCGCCTTTCTTAAAGAACAGGACCACCGCACTTCTGCTCCACGCCTCCGAAGTAGTGTCACCATGGAGGAGGAATTGAAGAGCTTCTGAAGGACTTCAAGTACCGGTGTTCCACCCGCTTTCAGAAGCTCCGCTGTAATTCCATCCTCGCCTGGGTCCTGCCGTTTTAAGGTGCTGGAGAGCTATTCTAATCTCGCTCTGACCGACATCCGGGATATTATCGGATAAAACTTGTTCTTGGATTCTCGTTACTCACACTTGCGTGTGGCTCCAACGGTGATGTGTACAGCTGCTCATAGAACCTCTCAATCTCACTCAAAATCTCAGGGGTCCCGGAAACGATGTTACCACACTCAGTCTTCAGCTTTGACAGTTGGCTCTTTCTGGCAGACAGATCTCTGGCAAAGACTTTGGAGCCCCGGTTTCGCTCCATCGCTTCTTTAATACTAGCAGTATTAAAGTTGCGTAAGTATCGCCGCATGCATTTGGAGATCTATCTGTTCAGTTACCTGTATGCTGTCAAATCTGTTGACGATTACAGCCTCATCTTCCTTCTAACAGCCATGAGGTTATGAGTGTGATCGGAGAGTTTTTATATTCTTCTGCGGCGGGTCTTGTAGAACTTAGCGACCGCATAGACAGTTTCCACGACCTTGCCATTAATATCGTCCACTGCATTGCAATCTTCTAGGCACTGAAAGCGGTTACGTAACTCGAGCTGAAAGATTTCGGGAATCTGGATTAGAGCACGAGGGGGACGTAGCGTTGACTTCATTAGACGAGACCTCTCCAACTTAACGTGCCTCTAACAATTCGGTGATAGCTGCCATTCACCCTTGCGATCACTGAGACATCATTGAACAGTTGGCGTCTGGTCATTATGAAGTCAATCTAATTTTTGTCAAACCGTCGGGGCTCGACCAGGTCCACTTTCTGTGAGGCCGCTTCTGAAAGAAAGAGTTCATCATAAAAAGTCTCTCTTTCTCCATGTTTTAATCATATGGAGTGGTAATGTTGAACTAAATTATCCTCCTCTGTACCCGATGTAGGGTGCTTATTTGCAAAAATAGTCCCTGTGTCTGTGATAGTAACCAGATTTGAATAGAGTCTGACGAATTCTTTTATGAGCTCGGCTTCCGATGACTACATAAAGCAGGTTTGGTCCATGAAACCTTTTTTCGGACCACGAGGTTTGCGACCGCTCAACAGTTGTTAACGTTTTTTTTAATATATGCAGCTATGCAGGTCTAGAGAAAGAGACTAATATCACTGCGACCTATAAGATCTATTGTGATCACTGCTATGGCTATAGTTCACGGTTATGCCCTATATCTTCAATGAATAAAAGGAGTTGCTTGGTCGTGAGCAATTTCACTTCTTCTGGGCGGAGTACATAGTTTCCCAGATGAGTGTTACGTTTGCGTATTAAGGGTCCGTAATCAGTTAGAATGTGTAGAGGCGTTTTTTCCGTTATGGAACAGATCCGACACATCCTTGAGTTGCTTAGTCCCAGGATGGACATGTGCTTTTTAGGACAAAGTCCAGTTAGGGCTCTTACCAGAATGCGCAATTTTTTTACTCAATCCCAGGGCTTCTGAAGCGAATTAACGACCAAAAGCCCGGGTTAAGGTTTTATAATGTTTTAAGCCTGGTGTGTCAGAGCAGATCTCAAGTGATTTATTGTGATAAAGAGTTTCAAGGGTCAATCGGGCTAGGTTTCTTGGGATTCCACAAAATGGCTCAGGTCCAAATTGTGTGCACTTTGAGCCCTCCCTTGCAAGTTTGTCGGCAAATTCGTTGCCTACAATACCCTTGTGACCCGGAACCCATCTTAAAACTACCCTGTGTTACATCCCAGGGCGTTTAAACGGTTCACGCAGTCTCCAACTAGCTTCGAGTTCACTAAGTTTGACCTCAGCGCTAGCAGTGCTGCTTGACTATCAGAGTTTATATAAATTATATGGTTGACGTAGTGTTTTTGCAGATTGATTTCCGCACACCGAACTATAACGAAAATTTTTGCCTGGAAGATAGAGGTGTATCTACCCAAATTCATACTAAGTTTGAATTTCTGGCTTTTTGGGAATTTTTGAGTTGGATAGGATATACCTCTGATAATTTTTGATCTCTACACTCTGGTCCTGTATTGCACAGATAAGAAGGTTTCAAAACGTAACCAGTAAAAGTGGTAAAATTAAAAATGTTGTACAACCCACTGCAACGTAAATTAAATGAGAATATCATCAATGTAGTCTAAGTCAATTGAATACGCCTTATTAAGCCTAACCCAAAAACTACAACAAAAAATATAGAGCTGAATTGAGTGCCTCCTCCTTTTTGAATTTTGTTAAAAAGAAGGAAACTGTGTGGAAAAGTGGCTTATTTTACGCTCTGTAGAACGCCCTGTGCTGCTTCTTGGACATTTAGCACCGGGAGACTATGGACGAAGCATAGTCTTTGCTCTGAAATGCTTTGCACTGCCAGTGAGATAAATTACATTACCCAAAAGAGATTCCACATACACTTTAGGTACAGTTTAGTACACATAATAATTTAAAAAATTAAACACTGAAGTGGCAAACAAAACAATTTATAGTCCACGTTTTTACGTGGTAGAGCCATGCTGCAGTTATATTAGAAGTATAGTTGTGGCACGAATGGGTCGGCTCGACCGGGGAGGGACCACGCTCTCACAGAATACCAGCGTGAAATAGTAGCTTACCTAATGCTGCTGTATTTCGTATGGTGAGTGTAGAGAACCGGAGACCCTTTTTACTGGAAACGAGGCATTCCATCTTAGTCCTCACGGGTGACAACGCATCTGCATTTTGATTCGTAATCGAGGATAGATGTGGATGTCTATGGGCCACAGCAACCACTTACCATCAGGTGAACTGTGTGCTCGTTTGTCACCCTATCCTATAAAAAAAAACCTGATGGACCCTGCGTTCATTAACTATCAAGTGGAATGATTGCACGTTTGTCACCCATATTCTAAAAAGAAATACGTTGTCAAAGATTCCTGGGCGTGCTGAGGGAAATAAAGAATTTAAATATTTTATGTGAATGAAAAATGTGTAAGTTTAAAGAGTCATCGTAGAATATGACCATTGTACCACATTGTATCCTGCAAGTAAAGAATGTTTAATTAGTAGCTCATAGATACCTACATTACATTATATACTTACATATTTTCGATCGAGGAATCGAGTATTAATGTAAGCAGAAAATAAAGGTTAGGATGCGCTATCACTTCCGCAGAATAAATAACATGGCAACAAACGAGCTCATATCCCACTTAGCGGTATTGATATCTACATCTATTCTCGATTAGGAATCGAAATGCAGATATCACCCCGGTTGGTTCAGTTTCCAGTTTATTTTGGTCCTGTTTTCTACACTCAGCATAAGAAAAAAATAGCATTAAGCCGATAGTTTACGCTAGTATTCTGTGAGAGCGTGGTCCCTTCCTGGATGAAAAACGTATAAAATTTCTTAGATTTTAAATACGATAAGCAGGTAACGGAAGCTAGTCATATTTTAAATTACAAACAAAATCCCAAAAAATAGAAGACTTCTTTATTCATCGTCTTATTAAATCCAACGCTCATTAAAAGTTGGGTGGTGAATTTTCCATATCCTCAAAGTATTTCTATTCTATTTTATTAACCCCTAACTTCACAAATTTGTAAAATTTTCTTTTATTTACAGGTACATTTTATCTTTAGCGTTGGCAGATCTTCTAGTCATCATTACATGCGTTCCATTCACTTCAATTGTTTACACGCTGGAGTCCTGGCCCTGGGGTTCTACAGTTTGTCGGGTGTCGGAAGCTGCAAAGGATGTTAGCATTGGGGTATCCGTGTTTACCTTAACTGCTCTGTCAGCCGACCGTTACTTTGCAATCGTAGATCCTCTTAGGAAGCTTCATGCTACAGGTAAGTACATTCTAAACGTCTATAATTTTTAATTTAATTGCAAAAACTACATGATGTGTTTGGTAACATAACTGCAAGGTAGCAGTGGTGTTAGAGGAACTATCACTTCAGTCACATATATTTTAAAAGTCGGCTAAACATAACGTAACGTACCTCATCTGAAACATTGTATAATAAGTAGATTATATATCCACCGACCAGTCCGATAGGTGGAGAGTCTTAAAAGCGCAAGACTTCTGGACCTTAACTTATTTGCAAAGTATGAATATATGTCTCAATAAAATACTTAACAATTACGTTCTATATAATTTTGCAAGCAACTATGCAGCTCTAGAAAGCCTAGTATCACCATCGATACATACGTTCATATATTTAACTTTTACCGCAAAACAAGAAGAAATTAAATTGTCGCATAATATTAGACACTTAATGTGTCACCAATAAGTAAACAATTATAGTTTGGTTGGGAATATTTGACGCATTCACCGTACGCAATATACGGCTCTTACATATTACATTTCTGAGTTTTATGTGCTGATTTACCACCTATTTGTCGGTGAAGAATAGACTTTTAAAAAAATACTTTCGGGCCGAAATTTGACCATAATAAATAAAATTTTTAAGTTTGTAATTTAAATGGTCTCCAATTTACCTCCAAATCAATATTAAAACACAGATATGTCATATAAAAATATAAAATAAAGGCTTTTTTGCCTAGACATATAATTCACAGATTATTAAAAAAGAATATCTGAAGTTACACAAAATTAAGCAGCTGTTATATTGTGGGAACATTTTTATTAATTCTTTGGCGACAATCGAGGATTTCATCTGGGTATGTACCAAATCCTTATTTATTTTTGCCACCAAATAGCAGTGCCAGCATTACTGTGTTTCGGTCTGAAGGGTATAGGGAGTCAGTATAACTACAAGCTGTAAAGCATTCCATCTTAGTAGTCAGAGGTGACAACTCATCTGTGACCTTCTTTGTTTGAAGTTGGCTACAAGTGTCCATGTTCTTAAATCCACTTACCATCAAGTAAACGCTTTTGTAACATCATTTAAACAATATCTTATCCTGTTTTATTTTTGTTCGATCGTAAAAGCCCACTGTCTGACTTGAGCAACTTTCATTGTAAGGATGATTGCATGAACCGTCACGCTAGCCAAGCGAATTGTTGATAGTACTGCGTCTCGCACCTATAAATTCAATTGTTTTAAAAGGGCAAAAGCTAGTAGATAAATAGATAAAGAATAAAAATAATTATTGCATTCCTGGAGCATCAATAAGTCTAATGATAAATATAATTTTAATAAATAAATTTTGCCTTAATAGTAAACAAAAATCAATTATTTTACCAAATTGAATATCTTAATAACCTAAATGTATACAAAATTATCTTGTTTACTTTGCCTTATACACAGGGTTATAGTCTAAGATATGGTTTAAATTAATTAATGAATAACTTGACATTTAATAATAATTTTAATCAGACATTGAATTGTAAGAATTATAACGATACATTTCACGCACGGAGCAAACACGTGATTGATATAAATAATTTATTAAAAAAGTTTTTGGCTGGAGATAGCTATTAACTATCCAAGTATAGTATAATACTGATAGCAAATGTGCTATCCTATTTTTTACATTTTAACTCAGCCATGATTTGGCTAACCAGACATCTACTTCTATTGAGCAGTATAATGACTTTAAATTGAATTTGGAATCAGTTCCAAGTAGTTTAAATTAGTAAACAGTAGATATAATATCTAGCAATTATAATCATAATTAAAATTTACATTATTCCGAATGTACCCTACAAAAATGTACCCTACAGTATATTTTGTTATATTTCCAAGGCTTGCGACTATGTTCACCATAAGACTTTAATCGGGAAGCTACATCATTATAGTATAAATTACCTAGCGTTTCAACTTATTACGTCATATCTAAATAATAGAACGCAAATAATTGTTACTAATGGGAGCAGTTTTTCCGAATTGGTAGTATCTATGGGGCTCACAGGGCCACAGGGCTCAATTCTGGGCCCCTTTCAGTTCTTAATTTATATTAATGCTTTATTTACTTGGTAGCGAATAACCATAATATAGTTTAATTTGCTGATGATACTTCTTTGAGTTTTCGACTTAAAAGGCAATTACTGAAACATGACGAACATAATAATACTATATTAAAAGTAGTACACTGGTTTAACATCAACTTGCATTTGAACGGTAATAAAATGAAATGTATTAATTTTATCACACCTTATGTTAAACAGGAGAAAACTAGTGTTCTTTTAAATGAGTAGGAGCTGGGCCTTAATGAATCTACTGTTTTCCTCGAAATTACAATTGACGCGAAGCTTTGATGGGGCTCTCATATAATATCTAAACTAGCTAGCAAACTTAATTTTGCAGCATATGCTGTATAAAAGATAAGATACCTTAAATGTATTGAAACTACTAAATTAGTTTATTTTAGTTATTTCCATAGCATAATATCTTGTGGAATCTTGCTATGGGGTAATACGACTGACATTAAAACTATCATTACCTAGGTCCGAAAGAATCTCTTAGAGAAAAATTAAAAGAAATAAATACTACCTTTTTTAAATTTTATGTCAAATTAGTAGTATCTATTGTTGGATCAATTTCGTAATATGTTAATGTAATAGAAAAAATTGTAGAATATCACTACCATAGGCTTCTATTCCGTTTACATGTTACACCTAATTTTTTTCCAACCGCTAAAAAAGATTATTCAGTAAATTGAATTTGGCTTCCCAATCTATTTACAATAATTTAATGTAAGTACACAAAAACATAAATAGTTTTATTAAAACAGTGATATACATTCTGTAAATACTAGGTACAAGCACAAGTCAGTTATAGTAGTTTCTCGACTTCAAATAGTCAGTAATTACTTCATGGGGAAATGTATACACTTTTACAACAAAGTCCGAGAAAATGTGCAGACCTTATTTACCAAAAGGTTTAAATTATTTATTAAGTGAAAATTGTTTAGTAAGGGTTATTATACTAACAAAGAGTACATGATTAATATTAATCCCTAGGAATGTGTGGTGGTCGCTGCATACAACCACGCAGTTTCTTAATGTTTTCGTAACAATTGTATAAAATATTATATTGTAAATTGTGACTTAAAAAGTCCCATTGGTTTTCTTACTGGTTCTTCCCAGGACAGAGGTTTTTGTCCAAATCAGCGGTAAAAGTAAAAAATGGCTTTCATTAAGTATTACATATAATCTATATTGAATAAAAATGATCCTATTCTATTCTATTCTATAAAAATGCTTCTACTCGACAGAAATTTCAAGCTTAAAGCTACTAAGTCATGGTAATACCACCTCTACCGAAAGCCATTAACTTTTTCTTGTATATGCTTTAATTGAATTTTACGACACTCACACAACGAAATGGAATGATGGTTTGTATAGACTGACTTCACTTGGTGATCTTATATTTAGGTGTATGTAATGAGGACTAATAATAATCTTCCGCACACCAGATGTCACTAGTTGACAATGAGGTGAAGGTTTTTGTTACACGACGTCATTTAATTGAGTAATTCGTTTTAAATTAAAGTTTATCAGTTTCTAGAGTATTATACTAATGCACAAAACAATACCTCACTGGTTTGCTCTTTTTTTCACATTTTTAACTCTTTTTTTATGTTTCTACTTTTATGAATAGCCGTGGTTTGGTTTTGGTTTGGCTATTTATTTTTAATCTAATAAATGTAAAATATGACTAATAGTAAAGAAAGAAACATTAAGCTGTACATTTTTCGAACAATTTAACTTACCAGCTATAAAATTTGTCAAATATTACAACTCATTTTTCGTGGCAGAAAAAGTCGTGAATGTTTGTCAGCGGACTTTTGATAAGCTGTACCGAATGAATAAACAAAATTTAATTCTAAGAAAACTGATTTCAATTTTATACAAAGTAACTACGTCACTTATTTTCTTGAGTAATGTTAATACGATTCAATAAAAAATTATATTTACGTCAAAACATACTAACGTGGATTTCACACTTGACTGATATAAAGTCGTTTGTTTGTTTTGTTATTATAGATTCGGCAAAAACCGGCTTATTTTTTCTTTTTTATAAGAACCATATAAATATGGAGTGTATAAATCACAGACTAACATGTGATACTAAGAAATTTAAACTTAAGTTATAAAACGAAATCGGCTCGTGCTCGTTAGTGCAGGATAATTATTTTTTACACACCCATGTAACACATAAACCAGTGCACCACTACAATACCACGTGGTATTGTATATACTAGCATAGTATAGCCATACTATGCTATACTATGCTAGATTTCGATAAGTGTCGCTATAGTCAAGTTTTTAACAAATTTTAACAAAATCACAAAATTAGGACTCTATAGGTCTGTGCTCGAGTTATTGATGCATTTTCTAATACGCTGTAAAAAGACCGGAGAAAAAATTATCTGGACACCTACCAGAGGGGAGAACAACGCCTGTTGGGTCAGATTGTATTATTTATTATATACTTCGGCGTAATAAAGCACTCGAACCCAAGCTTTCAGTTGATATTTTTAGACGTGCTTCAGTACTCATGACTCTGAGGAAGAGAATTCAAACAAATATGTTTTATATAAACTGAACCAATGCATGAATGAAATTCTCGGGTTCTTACTCGTGTAGATGTATTGAAATTAGAAAAATAAACGGAATGTCTGAGATATGTTTGGATGTCTTATTTTATATTGGTTTTCAAATCAATTCAAAATATTTTCCAATAATAAAAAAACTACAATATGTAGTGATCAAATAATAGATCTACCTTCCTCTGGAATGCAATATATTTAAGAAAACATAGTGATGACTTACCGATATATTGTTTTTGAAAATTATTATCACCGACTAAGTACCTCGTTCGTCTATTTATCGTAAACTGTCAGTTGGGGTTCGAATCCCGGGTTGGGCCGAAAATAA